CACTTAATTTTGCAATTTGTGAACGTTACAGTCTTATTGGCGTTAAAATTAAACCGTCTTGTCAAGAATCTTCCCTTGGTATAAAAAATCCGCGCAATATTAGCTCGGTATGATTCATCACGTATTTTTTAAATTTCTTTTAGGACGCGCAATTTATCTTTAATCCGATAATAAAGGAATTTTCGAAAACGCAAAGAATAACGGGAAAAATTCTGCATTACCGCAAACGGTACCTGCAATAAAGCATTATGACACTAAAGAAGTAGGTATTACAGGACTGGAAGGTTCGCCCAAATTGGGACCTTTTGTGCCCAAAGGTGCTTCCCTTTCGAAACGGTAGCTCGCTAGCCGTTATTTATCCGCGGCTTAAAAAGATCCCATCCCCCACTCATCAGATCGGACTTACCGAAGATTTACTGCGCTTACTAACGAGCCTTGATACTCATGACGTGCTCAACTGGTACACCTAAGTGATATTTATGCGATGTTCCCTTAATGAGGATACCACTTTCTTGTACGACATGCTAAAATACCGTGACGTTTCGGCCTTCCGACCATCCGGGTCCGAATTGTTCGAAGACGTCGCTTTTTCCAAGAGAATCGGTACTTAGGTAGGTACAAGCCGCCGCCATGTTGTCACCTCTCAACAGAACGAAAATTTTCTATTCGACCATTTTGTTAGCTCGGATTCATTTTACTCCTTGCTCGAATTAAAGTATCCCATTTACAGTGATCCTATTTATTGGCCTTTCCTTGGGATCGGTAATTCCCCGAGGAATACTGCAGATACCGAATTTCAAGGTCCTTCGGATACATTTCGTCCTCGTCGGGAAATGTACCCAACCATTTGTCATTCCCTTAACTTTCTTTTTATTTCTCGCCCGAATTAAAGTGTCCCGCTCATAATGGCCTTGTTCATCGGCTTTTCCTTAGAATCGATAATTCCCCGAGGAATCGAAGTCATGCCCCTCTATAGGCATGAAACCTCAGGGCCCTTTATATTTCGGAGTACTTAGAACTCGAATTGAAGCTTCATACTCTCGCCGGTACTGTTCATTAGCGTTCCCTCGGGAGCGAAGAATTTCCGCGGAGCGATAACTTCCCGTTCGGGTGTGTTTGTTATCGGTGAACTACTTCTCCGGTAAAGAAAACCCCGGATAAGGGAAAAGGGAAATGGAGCATTACTACTTGTGCCTAGTGCGCGGGTATATTATTCTCGTTAAGTATGCCTCCTGCTCCTTTTTAGTGCGCCTTAAATTTCTTTCCAAGTTTCGTAATACCGCGGATCGCTTAGCGGCATAGTTGCGCGATTACTTCCTCCATTACTTGCGGTGAATGACGAGCTGCAAGGGATTGTTCGCCGATAGGAATGGCTGAAAGTTGATTTATCGAGCAGATTCAGGAACGTGAATTTCAGATTTCCCTCTAAATACAATCTGACGATATCGTTGAAATTCGAGCGTTTTAAAGAAATTGCGCATTTTAGAAAATGCATTATTTTTCCGCCGTTAATGAGCATCTTTCAATCACCAATATTGTTACGCATTTGACATCGTCTTCGAATCTTCCACGCAAACTTGTTACGGTATTTGACGTGCGAATTCCTCGGAAATATATGGGTAATTTTCCCAGTTATAATCATGTCACCTTTTTTTTTTCTCGCACAACGTGTACTTGTAGTCATCTTTGATCTGGAACAGAGATTTTAGCGGCGAGCTCGCTCATTAAATCGTTTTTCAGAGTCGTTTCGCGGCTATCCGCGGAAGTGGCCAGAAGTAGCATTAATAGACGACATCCTTAGACCTCGGATTTCGCCGGTTTCCTGCAATTATCCTATGTATGTATCTGGACCCGCTCGTGCCCTCGATTGCGAGCACGCAGGATCGATGATCCAAGATGACCCTAGACGTATGATAATGCGTTCTACGTGTATATTTCCCCCTGATTTGCCGCATTATCTCTCGAACGGTATGCCTTGACCAGATGCAATTAGTCCATGCTAATTACATGGTTGCGGTTAGTATGATTTATGTCGCTACACTATGTCGGGAGGGAGTCTCGAGAAATCAGGGGTCTTCGTCCGATGCGAACCTAGGAAAACGCTTCAACATACATGGACACTAAAATCGGGAGCAGGAATTAGAGAAAGTACCTCGACTAATTGCAAGTACGTGCTCGGCACTTTATAACGCACCTCTTTACTCATTATCGCCGACCCACACAGAAAAAAGAAACTTTTAGTTGTAGTTACTAGAAAACTACCATTTTCTTCAACGAGATAAAAAAGTTATCGAAACATAATCTTTATGGCAAAATAACCTCGGTAACTGATATCATAATTTATGAGTTACATTTTCTATGGTTCCTATTGCTAAATAGTATAACATCGTAAATAGTTGAACTGTAAACTATGGTTTCAAATATTATTATCGACTGACATAAGTTTTTTCAAGTAACTACAACTACATATGTTTTAGAGGGTAATTATCACTCGGTGCACCACATAATGTGGAAGAATAGACTATGGCGAAGTACTTGATTTTTTGTATAGGCGATACTGCATGCTAATTTCATTCGGTGAAAGTAATCAACACCTGTTTACATAACATTAGAAGAAAGGGTAATGCGTGTTCATAATGGTCTTAAAACACATCGCGGATGTAGCCGCAATCAAGGGGTCTTGAGAAAGCAAAGGCCATGGCACAATGGACGTTTCGATCATTTAATGGCGAAAAAAAAGAAGACGGATAAGTGAAAGCGAAACATTGAAATACACGTTGCCTGTCGGTTTAGCGTCACCTTCGTTTAGAAGTAAGTTGCAAAAGGACTTTCGTTATAAATTTCGTTATTTACAGCGCTGTCCTTAATTCTTCCATGGGTCGCTTAGAAATTTAAATGTCACGACTTGTCCCTGTCGCGGCTAGTCCCTGTCTCCCTTCCTCAAAAATATTTAATCCGGCCTCGCGTTTAAGGACAAATATATTTATCAAACGAGAATGACCTACGTCGACAAGGTATAAGGGATAAATTCCTTTCGCTTCTCCTTTGTAGTTTTTTATTTCATATTTCTACGATAAATCTCGACCCGAAGTACCCCTAGCGTTCCATCCGTAGGGATGGGTTTAAGTGTATACATCTCAACTCGCGAAGCATTTAAAACATTCCTATGCATAGAAGCAAAAGTCTTAAATCCTCTCAAGGCGTAACGAAGTCCTCGGTCTACGTTCCCAAAACCTACTTTTTATCCATCCATTATCTACTCCACATTAAAATAATATATCGCCTCTCACGGTCGCATCGATTCGCGCGTAACTTCGGAGGAGCGGCCCCACTTGAAACCCACGTAAATTCGACGGGAGGAAATGAATAAAAACGCTTTCGACAGGACTCACGGCCCGAAATCGTCGGCCTTTCCACACCTGCGTTACTTTTTCATCACAACTCGGAATCCGTACGATAAATCTCGGCACGTAGTAACGTTTACGGTCCAGACAGGCCGAATTTAACGCCGCAGACACCTTGGCCTGCCGCGTGTTTAAGGACATCTAAATGCCACTCAAATTCTCCGGGCGAAAAAAAGGACGACCTGGCCAAGTCGTAAACCTTTCCCCGGCGTTATTTACCCTGACGAAGAAAACCCGTTACGCGTAATGATGCACTCCGGGAGGAGCGAGGCAAAGAAATGCGTTTACATCTCGCGTGCTCTCGCAAGATGTAAACGCGAGCCGAGAGGGTTGCCGATGGTGACCCAGAATAAGGGGCGCGAGAAATTCGCTGACGAGCCTGAGCTCACTAGTCAAGCTAATGCGTAAAAGCACTATCCAACACCGCGGATTCCCCCGTGGTGTTTTATTTAAAGAATGCCCGAGGCTCCTGGCCCGGAGTATATCATTACGCTGGCCTCTCATCTTTTTGTTAAACGACCCCAAACCCACTCGGCCCGTGTACGAATTCGTCAACGCTCCTTCCCGCGAGATGCATCATCGATGTTTAAAGGGGATAATCACGCTGGAAATGGGATGCGCTTAATCTTGCCCGATCTTAGGGGTGGGTGATTAATCTTGAAATCAAGCACCGCGGCGAAAATAGAATTTGGACTGTAATGCGATATCCGGATGACGGGGTTGCGCGATAAATGCATGTAAGTGCGCTAGTAATATGAGGTATACTCACTCGGTATATTCTCAGAGAAAAGCATTTACTTTGGGGGCGAAATTAATTGATTGCGACCATCTAAATATTTCTTGCTAAAGATATCTTGGTTCCCGAGAAAGGGATTTTCTGGGAATTTTGTGAGAATATTAAGGTGGCAAGAACGTTGCAGGCAATGAATTATGATAATTTTGTATCAAGTGAAAATTATTATGAGAGACAAATTGAATGAACAAGGTTGACTTTGGGTATTGAAAATGTTAATTGAATGGAAATGTTAATAATAAAGTTGTGATTTTTTTTTTAATAATTTGTGCATAATATAGTATATTGAAGATATAACATAATACAGTATAAGTACATGTAGTCAATACATTTTCGAGATACCATATTTCGAAATGTCGTGTACAATTATGTCCAGGATTTTAATTGACAAGGATACGATTTTCAAAGGGCACGTACACGAAATTTCTAAATCTCCCTTGTACACTATATCTTGATCACTTACGCATACACAATTGTATGCATTTTGAGAAAAGCGCGTGTAGTTAATTTCTTAACATTTGTCCTGATATTTTTCCTCGTCTTACCGTTTTGTTCACAATTTTAAATACCGTTGTACGAAAGGAACCGTAGAAACATTCTTCTAAATGTAGGATGCATACGTCCGATTTACCTTTCGAGTATAATTGCTTCTGGCTTTGGTATACACTTGTATTCGAATTCTTTTACAGGACCGTTCCTTTAAACCCAGAGCTGTCCGAAATTCGGTATACGTTTGTCCCGTCTTTTTTTTGAAATGACACGAAAAAACGAAGGAACGTTAACAATCGTCCCGTGTTTTCCAGTGCGTGCAGATGGCACACGCGTTGAGGCGTATCTCGTACGCAACTTGTGAGCCCCAGCACGCCCAGTTCAGCTTCCTGGCGAGAGAGCCGAGGGCCCACTTCAGCATCCAGTACTGCCACTCCTTCATCACCGAATCTCCTGAACAGGTCAGTTAACTGCCCATTTTACGACATCTCCACTTTGGCTCCGCCGCTTTTCGTATGGCTCCCGTTACGCAAAATGCGTACGGGAGCCGATGCATGCATTACGGCGAAGCTCCTCGGGGAATTTTTATAGTTAAAAAGTACAGCCGAAGCGAGGCCCCAAGGTAAAGGTCCCTCCATGAGCCCGGCCATGATTTGCCGAAGAACCTCTCGGCCAGGAATTCCGCTTTTAAGGGCGTACCAAAAATGGCACGGTGTAGGTACGCGCCTTCGCTTTTTCGTGCGTACACGTGCGAGTGGACGCGACCGCTCGCCCCTAAGGGTAATACCCGCTCGGGTATGCAGATACGACGGTGTCGATTTGCAAATTGTAGTTCTGCGAGAGGTAAGTGACCGTAGTTTCGAGCGGAGCCATTAAGCACGGACGTTACTAGCCGCGAATTCCCGATTCGAGTCAGGTCAAAGTGGTGTCAATTAATGGATGCGTCAATTAACTTTGCGAGATTCTAATTAATTCTGGCTCGTGCAACGCGAGAAGAAGGTATCGCTGGTAATGTACTGAATTATTAAGTAATGTCGCTCAAATTGTATTGGATTTTTCTTTTTTATTTAAGAGGGGAAGATGAAGAGCGACATCTCGGAGGGGATATTTGAGGGATGCTGAAAATTATCTACGCACCGTAAATAACTGTTATTGAAACCAAGTTGGTCGGCTTATTTATAATTTTACCCTGGCACTGATCTGAAACTTGAAGGCGAAATAACAACTTCAATTAGCGTCTTAAAAAGCGCAACGTTTGCCCGGGCGAAACTCTCTCTTTCTCCCAAGGCTCTTCCGAGAGGACGGAGGCTGCAATTGCAAAAGACCGCCTGCTAGTTTGGGACTTTAAAAATCCGAAGGGGTAAAGGAAATGCCTTCGTGTAATCAATGGAGAACTTCGATGCTCGCGCGGTTTAAGTTTCGTCAGATTTAATTATGGTTGACTATATCTGAAGTGACTGCATTCGACAACGAAGTCATTTTCGTGTACCTCAAACAAGGGGCTCTGATTGTTAATTGAACGGAATCAATTTTAAACGTTTTACTATTACAATATCTGTTATTTCCGAAACAAAAATTGAAATATCCGAAACAACAGGTTTAACGTTTTTCCACGTACATTTCTTTTTTCATACATCACAAGGGCTCAAATTCCCATTGGGTTCCTCTTGGAGTAAGAACTCTGCACACTTCTTTCTTTAATTGCACGCAGACGATAAAAGCCGTATTCTTGAAGCTGAATAGAGGTTCTCGGATAAAGGCTGAAGTGCCTCCTCTTTTCGGCGAATTCGCAAACACTCGTGCAGGATCACAAATTAACGACCTATCGGCCATTCTTTCAACCGCTGCTGAAGGAAATCTTGAGACGATTGTTAATTTACCTTGTCGAATGCGGATTACGTGAGCCATTTGCTCTTTGATGGGCACTTTTTTCAAATACATCTCTTTAAAATTCGATGCCGTTCTCTACTCTCAAATTTTATCTTACAGACATTTTTACAAAATACGCTAAATAGGTATCCGTGAAATTGGGAGATCTTCTCAAAAAATTGTTTGATAACGTTTAATGGGTTCTTTAATGGGTTCTCGTCTCGTGTAATATCGAGCCTTTTCGTATGTTCCAAATTTCGTATTCGATACGCATATGGAACGAGCAACGCACGTGGCTAATTCACCTGTAACGAGGAAGTACACATGGGTGGCCTGTAATGCTGTAAGTCGTGCCGTTCTCCCCAGCTGTTTCAGCATTGTTGGCGGCTATTAGCGACACTATCTGGCATTACGGGGGTAAGTGCGGGGCACATTAACAGCAATCGCCACTTCCCTAGGAAACACCGGGCAACAAGCACCGCATCTTGTGGGACATGCATAAGTGCCAATTACCCAGAGCGAGAGATTGCGCCGATAAGTGCAACAGCCACTTTCCCTCGATCGGCGATACTTTTTCTCTCAAGACATATCTTCACCTCGACTTTTACCCGAATTTCCGAGATTTCGTCCAAAATTGCACAAAGATTTACCGAAAGAGTCAGAATGACGAATGACCGATCCAATCGATATTGCTAAATATATTTAAAGAAAAGAAATTGGTGCGCGGAAACCACCCGCGTTAAAAATGAATCTTCGAAGTTAAAAAGAATGATTAGATATTCTTAATTATTCGTTCACGAAACGTCCTTACGCGTTCGATACTGGTTGCTTATGGAATAATTATCTTTTAATGTTATTATTTTTATCCAACTTTAAATATCAATCATTGAGAGAATGACGCACTAATACTGAGAAAAACGTTTACGCAGATTGTGTTAATACTAGAACACGAAAATGAATGCCAATAGTAATTAGATGTAAAAAAAAAACAATTTCAGTTATCAAATGAGACCCCTTTCGCAACGTATGAACTTACGCGTAGGACCGTGCCATAAGAAGTTGCCCTCGAAAAGGATTCGATGGAAGAAGGAATTCCACGCCGATACCCTGGGGTAAGACCAATGAATTTAAAGACCTCTCCGAAGAATAAGAGGAACCAGGATTTACAAGCTGGCAGATTTAACATGCGGGCAATTGAAAAACGATACTTCGCTTAAGCACCTAGATCAACCACCCGGCGTACTAATGATTCGATTTATATTCCATATAAACGAACTATCGCGGACCGCGGGCATGATTCGCGGGGAGAAATTCCTGGTGCTACACGGGGCGACATAACTCTCCGATCAAGACGCGGCGAGAGATGTAGTCGCAAAGGTGTCTGGACCAATCGTAAAGTTCCAATCCCACGATGGCGCCGAGGTACTTCGCATAATTTCCTCGCGACATACGGAAGTGGTACCTCTCGCGTGAGATTGCCTGCGATACTCCTGAACGAATGCGTCGGGGGTATCGACGTCGGAACGTAAGATGCAACGGGGATAGAGTAGTCCTTCGACAATGCCATAAAAACAAGCCTTTAAATTCCAGGACCGTTCTCGCGTCGCCGGACACGGGGATATTAACAGTCCGCATCTCCTCGAGGCTCGAGGCCGGGATTAGCGACTCGACACCCCGAATTGATGGTTCCGGGGACTCCGCTCCGGGGATGAGAATTTCATCCCGCCGAAACGCGCGCCGTCATTAATTAATAAGCGAAACGCGACAAGAACCCGCGGACGGGGCATAATATTATCTTAGGAAATTAGCCCCGTTGCGTGATGCCTCGACAGAATAGCTGCGGAAGCATTAAACCGAGCCTCTGGTGGGAGCGCTTGATAACTTAAACAACTAAGTTAAACGATCAAACTAATGGATTCTGTTGCTCGATTCGATCATGCCGTGACCCCGGAAACGGGATTCGTGTACCTTCGTAAACCCCTCTTCGCCTGAAAGAAGGGCTCCGTAATTTCGGAAAATGTTCACGTGTCCTGGGGACCTCGAAACCCGCTGCCGAAGTCTTCATTCGGAGCAGTTTTAAGGAAAACTCCTTGTGGCACGGTGGTACGTCGAAGTTTGCACGTTATGAAAAATACTCGTCTTGGAAAGTGAAAATACTTTCTATCTTTCCCTTTTCAGCTAATTACTATCTACATTAATTTTTGTATTTTAGAATGTTTAGAAATAGACACAGTTTGCGGAAATTTTCTTTTTTCGGTTCGTCACGATTTGTATACATCTCTGCATTTTGGAGTCTTGGCAATTTGCGTAGACATTTTCCTAAGTGTTAGTGCGTCACTCTCTCGGCTAAATACCGACGTTTACAACGAAATGAAAATAATACGAATAACAAAATAAATATAATTATTCCAAAAGCAAGAACCAAACGCTTAAGAGCATTTCGTGTAAAAATGGGAATTATTAATGTCTAATAATTATCGTTAACTAAGTTTAACTTGCAACGCGCGTGCCGACCACCTCCATTCTTTTCATGATTTTACCTGGGATCAATATGAACGTGATTTTTATTTAATTCAGGAAGATCTATAAACGAGGTCCTGATCCGATGGGGTGAACAATGTTTTCACGGAACCTGGTTCATCTTCGGATTTACCCGCGTGGTAAATATTAAGGTCGCAGGTTTTCATGGAAACGAAGTTCATGCTCGATAGCCCAGAAGTGCCGCTTAAGGCTCGACACCCGTTTTCGATAAAGATTCCCCGCTACATGCTACATATTTATCCCTGTCTACCGGTGTCTCGTTACAAAACATTTGATAGAATACCAGCGACGAGCAGGCAGCCAATTGCGATAGGCTCGGCGAGGTCTCGAATAAACCGTAGCGGCCTTAATAGGCCTCGTGATACTAAATACCGGCGTAGCTTCGAAACGAGCACCATTAATCAAGACTTTCGAATCGCCCACGAGGAATCAACGCGAGCGTCGATCGACCCGGATAAAAGACCGCCATAACGCAGAAGCACGACGACGAGGTAACACCAGAAGTCGAAGACCTGTTACGGTGAGGGATTGGGCTGCAGTAATCGACCGGTCGTTGACACGCGTGCATACAGCCGATGCAGAAACCTCCGACTCCGCCGCCTCTTCCAGAAGTGTCAGAAACGACGGCCGAGCCTTACATCAACGGCCTGAAAAGGATTTTGTAGCTACTGGAAGCAGCGCCGGTTATTGCACATCAAATCCCGGTAGACAGGTATTTGTGGTTGCCGCGTCCATTGTGCCACCATGATGCATTCCACGATGCAACGTATATAGGATCTGGTGGCTGATGCAAAAGTGCGCTGGCTGGTCTTGACACATCAGGAATGACGCCTGAACGCCGCTCCGCGGCACAAAAGTTGGACTTGGTGAAAAGACTGGATCTCCACTAATGATCCGGAGGCGAAGAAGCTCTACGTCCCTCTTGATGGTATCTTCCCATCCTTTCGCTTAATCCCCTACGAAATTTGGAACATCGATCAAAAATAGGCATAAGTTTCGCTTTCGACTCTAGTTCGGATTGGGTTAACTTCTTATGGACGTTCAGTCCTTA